TTTATACCCTGCACTTCGTGAAGGGTATATTAACTTTGGTATGGAGTTTGTAACTACTTGAAGGAGTCATCTGCGGTATGGACATATATATATATTCTTGCTCAGCGTAAAATTCTGCGTCGATTTAGACATGTCCGTCTGTCCGTCCGTCCGTCCGTCCGTCCGTCCGTCCGTCCGTCCGTCCGTCCGTCCGTCCGTCCGTCCGTCCGTCCGTCCGTCCGTCCGTCCGATCGCACGATAACTCAAAAACGAATAATGCAATCGACACCAAACTTTCACAAGTTTTTTCTTTTGTGCCAAGGACGAGCCCTATTGTTATTGGACTAATTCGGACAACGGGTTCGGGTAGCTGCCATACAACTCAAAGAGTTTATTTTAAATATTTCAAAAACTAATAAAGCTGTAAATATAAAATTTTGTATACATGTGTCCAATTATATTCTACATATGCTCTAAGAATTATAATGGGATAGCTGCACCGGTTCGGGTGGCTGCCATACAACTCCAACAGCAAATTTTTTATATTCGGCAAAATAATAAAGTCAGATTCATGAAACTTGGCAGTCATGTGTCCAATTATAGGTCAAATATACTTCTGAAGTTTTAGAGGAATTGCTTTACAGGTTCGGGTACCTGCCATACAACTCCATAAGCTAATTTTAAATATTTGGGAAAATAATAAAGTCAGATTCATGAAACTTGGCAGTTGGATGTCCGATTATAGATCAGATATATTTTTGAAGTTTTAGAGGAATTGCTTGACAGGTTCGGGTACCTGCCATACAACTCCAGAAGCTAATTTTAAATATTTGGAAAAATAATAAAGTCAGATTCATGAAATTTGGCAGTTTTGTGTCGAGTTATAGGTTAGATATATTTCTGAAGTTTTAGTGGTATTGCTTGACAGGTTCGAGTAGCTCTCATACAAGTCTAAAAGCTTATTTTAAAAATTTGGAAAAATAATAAAGTCAGATTCATGAGACTTGGCAGTCGTGTGTCCAATTATAGGTAAGACATATTTCTAAAGTTTTAATGGGATTGCTTGACAGGTTCGAGTAGCTCCCATACAAGTCTTAAAGCTTATTCTTAATATTTGGAAAAATAATAAAGTCAGATCCATGAAACTTGGCAGTTGTGTGTCCGATTATAGATCAGATATATTTGTGAAGTTTTAGTGGAATTGCTTGACAAGTTCGGGGACTTGCCATACAACACCAAAAGCTAATTTTAAATATTTGGAAAAATTATAAAGTCAGATTCATGAAACTTGGCAGTCGGATGTCCAATTATAGGTCAGCCATATCCGTGAAGTTTCTATAGAATGACTTCACAGGTTCGAGTAACAGCTACACAATAACGAAAGGTGCAGGGTATAATTCAATCGGTTTATACCGACTGAAACGTTTTTACTTGTTTACTTTAATTTTAAAATTTAATATTGAATGCCATAAATTTTTCAATTTGGAAAAAAATCAAACAAAATTTTGTTTAAATAAAATTTTAAATGTCTAATACACATGCTTATGTATGTGTGTTTGAGATTGAACCATTTGGTGATCAAAGAACTCACCTAGTATAAATTTTGGTTTGTTTTTAGCTCACAATGCGTAAGGTATTTTCCAATGTGTGCGTATTTGAAAATTAAAATTGAATTTTAATAAATTGAAATTTTTTAATATTTTTTTTTTTACTTTTAAATTAAAATGATTTTTTTAATACTTTTCAATTTTTAAATATCTACTTAAAAATACGAGTATTATACGATAGAAGTACTGTCAAAAATTTAATTCAATTAAAATGTATAGCTACTTATATGACAATTGTATTTGTATTGAAATTCTATGTATACACATCTCAGTTGTCAATTGTACTAAATTTAGGATGAGTGCCAAAAAGACACCAAAAACAAAAAAAAAAGTGTTTTTTTTTTTTTTAAATTATTATTAAATAATTTTTTATTCATATTGTCAAAAAATAACTTTTATTATTATTCTTTTTTCTTAAATTTTCATATTTTTTCGTCAATGATATTTGGATGTGATCCAATTTTTAGGAAACTGAAAATATTATGTATGAGAAAAACAATTTTGTTTTTGAATTTTTTTTTGTTGTGTTCTTGTACTAAATTGAAAAATTTTTAAAGAATTTTCTATTTTTATATATTTTGTACTATTATAAATAAAATGAAATTTAAATAAATAAAAGTTAATTGTCTATTTTCATTTTTTTGTTTTTATATTTTTTAAATTTATCTGAAAATATGTATACGATTTATATTTACACTACTTATAAGCTTACATCTATTCATGTATTTGTTTTTGTTAAATTTCTTCACAATTAAATTGTTAAATTTAATTCTCTTAAAAGAAAAAAAAACAAATCTAAAGTGAACCACACATGATCAAATGCATCTCATGCTTTCCAAAAAATTTTTGTAATAATCTGTCAATCTTTGTAATAACACGACTTTTGTTGGTTAAAGTAATTTCAAGAATGTAAAACAGTACCTACATTTAAATATTGTTTTTGTAACTTGTATGATTTTTCACAAGAAGATATAAATATTAAGCAAAATCTGCTAATTATTGTTTTTAAAATTGGGACCCAATAGAAATTTTTATATACATACATATAATTCAGTTCAGTCAAAACTGAGATATAAAAGTGTACATAAATACAGACACATTTTAAATCAGGGGTTAAAAATAATTTCTTTGCATTTCATTAATATTTCGTTTCGTTAAGAATTTCGTCAAATAACATGTGATTTATGCGATCACAATACCTTCCTTATTATAACAAATGGGTATGAAAAAAAAAAATTCATTTTAAAAATATTTCCATTATTTTGTTTATTATTTACAAAATTTATTTACAATTGTTTGTGCAGTGAAATGGTGTGACTGATGTTAATTTATATTTGTCATAATGATGAATTAAAAAAAAACAACAGAACGAAAAGAAAACAAGAGAAATTTGAAAAAGTGAGCGTAGAAAATTTCTTCTTTTTTGATTTGATTGATTTTGTCAGAAACACTCTATATTAGAGAGTAGGTACGAAAATTTTAATTATTAATTTTTAAAAATGTTCTGTAATAGGATCAAACCAAACCTGTCATTGATCATAATTAAAATTAATTTTTATATACATACATACATACATATACAAATTTGTCGAAATTTAAAAATTTTTATAGGTATTCACTTTATATTTTCTAACAAATTTAAATCGCAAAGGATGGTAGATTTTGATTTACTAAAGAAAAAATTAAAGGTAGAAAGGATGGAGTTGAAGTTATAGAGGGCCCGCCCTAAGTTGTAATAGACCAAGGAGTTTCTAGGAAATTATGATTAGAAGCGATATAGAAAAATAATAGGAATATATAGGAATTAAATGGTAATGCTAGTGGGTCTTCTAGCGGAACTCAGGATTGCAGACTCTGTGCGTAAATGAACAAGTTTGATGCTTGCAGTTAAAGAATGGTCTGAAATCAATTATTAAGGAAGAATTATTTTGGAACTGCACAAAAATTTGTAAAATTGGAATATATTCATGTTACAACGAATTCAAGAAACGCTATTCTCTCTTTACAAAGCATTTTCTCTATTTATACGCAATTGCCATAAAATTGAGGAACATTTGATTAAAACGTCATTATTTTTAATTGTAGATTATTTTTTTTATCAAAATATTGGCCTATAACACTACAATCTAAATAATTTATTAATCTTAAATAAACTAGTTAAAATAATGCTAATTCTATTTTCACTCAAAACGTAAAATTATGCAACTTTATACTATAAATATAATATGTAATTTATTTCGAAATAAAAAATAACAATTAAAATTAGATTAGATAATTTTTTTACCAATTAATGATACAATGAAACAATTAGTGTAACATTTACCACAGCATTCACTCACTTTAGTATGTATGGGTACGTTATTTATAAAATTTGAAATGTGAGAATAAAAATTTTTTTATTTACACTTGTTTCTATTTAAAAATAAATCTATATTAGCATGTATACATGTGTATTATATAAAATCGAATGGTTATTTATATTTTTTATTTTAAAATAAACGTAATTACTTAATTAGATTTTTGTATTGACAAAACGCTAAAATTATTGGCATGGGTAGTATAAAAGTAAGCAAATCAAAATTTAATTAAATATCTGAACGATGTACATAATTGTGTATGTGTTTCTGCTATTTGAAATCCTTTATGAAAATTCCAGGATATCAGACTAAAATAATATTGTAAACTGATATTAGAACAGAGGTTAAAGTATAATAAAAATTAATATCTGCCTATTTTCAGTTCATGTAGGCCTTTTTTGTAGTTCTTCAAGACCTTTGCATTAATATGCAGCATGACCATTTTAGTCTAATTTTTTTAGGAAACATTTCTGAGGGCATTGATCTTGGAGGATTTATGTTCAATTATTTCCTCTTTATTTTCGGTATCAATTTGTATACAATTAAAATATGTTTGAACTAAATATTAAGTTAAAATATGTTTGAAGTCTCCAGCTCAAGAGTGTCTTCAAATGAACACGTCAATAGCAGACTGACGGGCATAATTAGGCCGACCTTATTATCTTATTATCGCAAATATTTCCTTCTTGGTCTTACATATGTATTTGTATACAAATCAATTGCCTGTCTATTAATTGAACTGAAGTACTGATTTTACTGCAAATTATTTATTTTAATTCTGTTATTACAATTGCTAAGAAAAATAAATATGTAGGTCTTTAAATAAAATGTAGGTGCAATATATTGTAAATAACATAAATAAGTATATTAAATTTATTTTATTTTTTAAAACTCCTATACTTAACCCTTAAAAACGCAATAGGGTTGCTTGCTAGTTGTTTGTTACTTTAAAATTTTGATTACTTGTCATCTTAAAAGTTAAAAATATATAATTTCGAATAATAAATTTTATTCAATTATTTTTTATTGTTATATTAATTATAATTGATTATTTTAGGTGTTGCAGATGGGGTAGGTGGTTGGCGAAGTTATGGGATTGATCCTGGAGAATTTTCATCATTTTTAATGAAAACATGTGAACGACTAGTCCATTGTGTTAATTTTAATCCACAACGACCTGTAAATCTATTAGCTTATAGTTACTGTGAATTACTAGAACAAAAGAAACCTATTTTAGGTAAGTTTTTTTTTTTTATAAATTTTAATATTATTTTTATTTAAAATTTTAAATATATATACGTAATATAAAATAATCAACAAAATTCATAATTAAAATTACGAAATCAATTTAAGGAGGGTAGGGGTAATATTCTTAAAATTTCATAAAATAAAAATATTTTTGAAAAACAATTAGTAAAAATTATTTTAAAATTCGACATTAAGAACTAAGGTCAACTATTCTATTAATGGGTGGTCATCATATTTGATTTTTTTTTTTTAAGTAGCTAGAGCTACATTTATACATAAATTGAACTGATAAGATATGAAAATAAATTTGTATTTAAATAAATACAATGTCATAAAATAAGTATATGCGTTTGTAAGTATTTGTTTTATTCAAAAAAAAAAAAAACTTTTGTAAACAATCCAATTGTAATGTAAAAAAAAGCTCTTCTTTTTTTTTCTAAACCGTGTTTTAGAATTTAAATGTTTGTGTAAATAAATACAAATTTTGTTTTTAAAATATACACACCATGTGTATAAAAAAATAAATAATAATTAAGATCAATTTGGCGCCATTTTAGTACATGATTTTCAAAAATAGAAAATTTTTTATAGTAAATATTATAAAATGGTACTAATTTAATTTTTTATTGCGTTGCTAAAAAATATGAATGAAATTTTCTTCTTATCATAATTTCAAAATGTAGATTAAAATTATCCTAAAACTATAGTGAAAGAATGATTTAACTCTATTGTGGCCTGTCGGACGTACAAATGAATTTCTGAAACCATAATAACTAGGTCTAGACTAGGTTAATCTGAAATTTTATTTAAAATTTTTGATTTACAATTTTCAAAAACGTTTGGAAATTAAAATCGCCAAAATTATTCTATTTTTTCAATAGTTTTCTGAAATTAATTAAAAATTTTTGAAATTAATTACAATCTAATTCAAATTCTAATAGTTAAAATTAAGTTTTCTAAGTTTTAATTAAATTAATTTCAAAGAAGAAATTTTAATATAAACAAGCTCGTCTTATCTTTATAAATAATTTCGTTAACAATATTTACATTTTTGATCTTTGCCTTTAATTTTCTACATATTTAAAAATTATTGATAATGGAAAATATTATTTTTCTAATTATGCAATATTGATTGAAGGATTCAATTTTTATTGATTTCAATTCAATTATTGCGCTTATCTATTAACATGAAATAACAGAAATTTTAAAAATTAAGTATTTCAATGAAGCAATTAGAAAATCAGTTTCTTGTGATTCGCACAAAACTTAAATGTTTAACAATATTTCTTTAAAAAAATTGCAAAATATTTAATTTTCAAACGTTCTTAATAAATCTTGATTTAAATATTATTTGAGTTTTTGAAAGAGTTTTACATATTCCATATTTTTATAGAACATTTAAAATATCGTACAATTCTGGTAGTGTAAAAAGATTTTACATAAATTTTTTAGTATCAATTATAAAACAAAACAAATAATTTTAAAACCAATGTTCTTAAAAACACCAAATGAGCAATCAGTTGGTTTCATAACCTTAATATAAAAATATACATATGTATGTACATATGTAGTATTATTTTGAATGGCGTTTCCTCAGTCTCTTTAACAATTATTATAGTCATTACAACAAAAATGAATTTATTTTCAGTTACGTGAATTCAAAAGCAAAAAAAAACAAAGTTTTACAACACGTTTTTAATTTAATTCATTTAAATTTATTTACTCTCACTCTTACAAAATAAAAATTATTGCAAAATTTTTATTTAGAAATTTTATGCAGGAAAAAAAATGCATATTATGTAATTTACTTAAATATTTTTGCATTTCCGCCAAATCAAATGAAATATTTTTATTTCACAATTTGTTTTTTTTATTATTTATTTTTAGTTACATGGAATTACCTTTGCATTTTACCTTTATTTTTAATTTTAAATCCAGCATGCCTCATTGAATTTTATTTTAGTTGGATTCAAAAGTTACAGTTTTAGTTAGAAGAAGCAATGAATTTTTTACTAAGTTTTTCTCAATTTCGTTTTTTGTTTGATTGTCTGGAAGTCAAATATGTATGTATGTACATATACATATGTAATTGAAATTTTTTAGGAATTTTTAAACTCTAATAATTCGCAGTTCTCAAAATAACGTGATGTGTCAATAATAATTAATTTGCGTGGAGAACTTACCCAAACACTATATACCTGTGTAGTTTTCAAATGTGTTTTCAATATTTGTTGTATTTTTCCAAAAATTTCGAAAAATTATTAATTATATGCATATATTTAAGAAATATGTAATAATTTATAGACGTCATCTTACAAAATTTCAAGTAAATTAAGAAATTCATGTAACTTTTTCAGATTAATTTTTCAATCTTCTTCAAATTGCAGATTGTGAAACTTGTTTATTTCTTTGAAACCGGAGGCTGCGAAAATTCCAATTCAACTTTTAATTAATTACTTACCTACCCTCTTAATACAATATTTTCGCAATATTGAAACACGCTACTTACTTATTGTTGTTAAGTACGTTTGAATATATGTATAAGTTACTTATGTAGATCTAAGATCTCGTACAACATTGTATAAATTTCAATTGATTTAAGAAAATCATTTTTCTTTTTTTTTTTACAATTGTTATTATTATTTGTATTTAAAATTATTCTGTTTATTATTTTAATTTTTTTATTTTCAATGTAAATTGGAAAACATTCACATAACGCTGTGAACTTTAACCTTAGTTTAATTTGACTAATAATTTACACTATCAAAAAATATCAGGGAATATAATATAGTAAATACACTACATATATAATTTTTAAGACTCGCACTATCTCCTTATTTACATATGTAAGTAGGTACAATATAGTGTGTATCTAAAAGGAAGCAAGTGTGTAGATATGATGTTAAATTATTATTGTGGCGTCATTATTATTTACGATAACGCATGTTGAAATATAGAGATTTGGAAAATAAAACAAAATATATGTATGTACTTGCGTATGTACATATTAATTTAAAATTTTTAATTTTTCCATTATTATTGTTGTTATTGTTATCAATGATATTATTTTTTATGACTATGATGACGACTGACGAGCCTTCTTTTTACTCAGTGATTATAGAAAAAAAAAATTAATAAACAGAAAAATTATAAAACTATAATAAATTTGTTTTTTTTTTTATATTGAAAAACACTAAGTGGATAAATTAACATAATAATAGTTTAGTTTAACTAAACACATACTTGAAAAATTTTTATTTTTAAAATATTATATTGTATAATACAAACAGAGTGATTCCAAAAGCAAAGAGAAGAAATTCTATTTTGTGGAGTAAATTAAAATTTAAAATAGTTGTAAAATTACTGTTCTTGTTTAAATGTTTTAAATAATATTGATGACATTATTACATATGTATCTGATTGGAGATTTTAGTAATGTTGCCAGACATATTTATATACGCTCTTAAATGTTTAGTGATTTTTGTTTCTCATTATTTTTATGTTTCATAATTTCATTCCTTGCATGAACGACTGCATTGTGTATTTTCTAAATTAGCTTTATAATTACCATTAGATGCGTCTAGTTGATTCTACTTAAATTAGTAATAAAATAGTTTATTAGTCTAATAAAAAGCATTCTACTTTGACATTTTACTTGGTATTATATGTAGGTATTTGCACAACATTCACCTCGCAAATGTTAATTACTTAAATTATGTAATATTGAAAACCAGTATTAACGCAATTTGAGTGTTAGGAAAATGCTTTTTGAACATTATATTTCAATTTTAAAGAAAATTGATAAATCCTTCATAAAAATATTGCCCTAAATAAAATCTGTTATATCGAAAAAGGATGGAATCGAAAAATATCGAAAACTGAACTGAATTGTATACTATTGATAAATAAAAATGTTAATTAAACGACAAATAGAATCAATATAATGAAATATAAAAAATTTCAGAAATTAGGTGACTTGAAAAACTGATTGCATATCAAGACTTTTCTTTAATTTCCCTGTACACGACTAGTTAAATTGCTTTGCATCATATTGATTGCATAGAATTGTATGTTCGCAAGTGTTAGTAAATTATATTTCCTTATAAATATATATGTATGTATATGTTTGCGTGTATGTGAATTATGTATTAAGATCTAGTGATATTATTTTAATTTTAAATCAAACTTGTTTTTGTATTCGCTATTTTAATACACGACCTGAATTTTGCATGGAGAATAAAAACAAAATTTTTTTTTTCAATATTTAAAGTTAAAATTATCTTTGACATTTTGTAAAAAAAAAAATGTTATTGTATGCTTTAAATTATTAGATTTTTATTTATTTTTATTTTTTTATTTGCATATTATAATTTTTTGGCAAAAATAATAAATTTAGACAAAAAATTGCGTTTTTCACTTTCTTTACGAAATTCACGATCGTGACCAAACAAAAATAATAAGTATGGATGTTCTATACATGCGAAGTATATGCTTATATATACATATGTACATACATATGTACATAATATTTACGTTATTGCTATTATTGTGTTAATTTGTTTTTTTTTTTCTGTTTGGACTTTGAATTTTTATAAACAAAAAGGAAAAAATAAATTTTAATGCGTATATTAGCGCTTGTATTTGTATATGTAGTGATATTCGTTAAGGTACAGTGAATTGAAAAAATTTACTACTACTGGTTTTACAGGAATAAATTTTATTTTATGAATTGATTTTACTGTTATACCCGCTTTATGAATTTTGCTATGAATTTATTAAGAAAGTTTTACTAATTTTTTTTCATAAAATAAAATTGACATAATATGTAGGTATGTACATATGTATGCAAATACATACAATAATTATGACACATTAATATTGACACAAATACAAAGTACACATAAATACACTCAATTGCAGTATTAAGCAAATAATTAACTTCAAAGATAGTTTGATAATAGATGGCAGTATTTTAGAACCGAATTCGAA